GGGTTAATGGCTGACCGCCATGGCCAGTCACCATAGAGAGAGAGAGCGCACGTGCGTGCGTAGGTGGGTGAAGAGAAGAGCAGAGCCTTCTTCTTCTTCTTCTTCTTCTTCTTCTTCTTCTTCTTCTTCTTCTTCTTCTGAGTGAGAAGTTTTATTAGAAAGGGCAAGGAGGGGAAGGAAAGATAAAAGAGGTGCAGAGACACAGAGAGGACAGAAGAGAAGGAAGGGGACAGGAGCAGAAAGAGAGGAGAGCGGGGAGAGAGAGGAGATGGAAAGAGCAGAAAGAGAGCAAGAGACCCAGCCACTTTCTTCTTCCCAGAGCTCTCTCTGTCCAGAAGTCCCTGCCATATCTTCTGTCTAGCTATTGGCCATTTATTTTTTTAAACCAATCATAGTGACACATCCTCACACAGTGTAAAGGAATATTCCTTAACAGTTTCTATTTTATATGTATGGGTGTTTTGCCTCATGTATGCCTGTGTTCTAAGAGGGCACCAGATCCCTGGAACTGGAGTTAAAGACTGTTGAGGGCATCATGTGGGGACTCTGAATAGAGCCCAGGGGGTCCTCGGGAAGAGCAGCCAGTGCTCTTTACTGCTGAGCTATCTCTACAGCCCTATAGATTACTTTTTGACATACCAAAGTAGTCTAGATTTCCAAATCCAGACCCAAAGCTCTGGACAGTGGATCATTTAACATTACATTCTACTTTTATCTTCACTTTGTTGTTTCTAAGTAGAATCCACTCAGACCAGATTTTTTAAAATTTTAAATTAGGATCTTCCTTATGCAGCTCACATTGGCCTTGAACTTGGAGTAATCCTCCTGCCTCCTGAGTCCTAGTACTTTAGGTATAGACCATCTTTCCTGGTTTAGTCAGGACTTCTTGATTCCTTTAGTTACTCTTCTGCTTACCTTGAGCCCAACAGAATTGCTTCAGGCTGGGTTTGATGACACATGCCTGTGATCCGTGCACTTGGAAAGCAGAAGCTGGAGTATCAAGAGTTCAGGGTCCTTCTCAGAATGTGTCATGCTCCCCGACAGCCTGGAGTACATGAGATTCTGCCTCAAACCAGAGCAAAACAACACAAAACCAAACCCAGGCTGCAAAGATGGCTCAGTAAAGTGTACTTGCTGCTCTTCCAAAGGATCAGAGTTTGGTTCCTAGCACCAATGGCACACAGCTCACAACTGCCAGTAGCTGCTGCTCAGGGCATCTGATAACCTCTTCTGGCCTCTGCAAGTACCTGAATGATGTACATAGCATATGCTCACACAGAGACACATAAATAAAAACTTTAAAGCCAAACAAAGCAAAAACCAAACGAAAAACCCTCATGTTTTATTTAAATTGGAATTCTGAAGCCAACCCTTTATCTTATCTTGCAATGATCTTCTTTTGTTGAGTTGCCCTGGAATCATAGGTATGTTCCATTCTGACCATGACCAGCCTGTTTATTTCAGACGGAGCCTCAAATTGGAGTTCAAGATCATTCTGAGTATTTAGTAAAATTCTGTTTCAAAATAAAAAGGGCTCAGTGGTAGAGTATTGCCTAGCAGGTGTGAGGAGGCGCGTTCATCTTCAGTGTTGGGAAGAGGGCTTGAATAATTGAATGAGTGGGGTTTGTGCGCTGGAGAGCTGAGTTTAAGGCGACGATATTACACTCCCATCTTACTGCAACTTTTTGGCGTATCCTCAGACTTTCCACAAATTCCAGCCAGTCTAGAGCAAAATCTCCTCTGGACTTAGCCTGCGATTTTCGAAAAGCGGTCTGTAACTTTCCCGGACCTGAGCGCGGCCGGAAGTTCCCCAGGTGTTGTCATGAGAACTACAGTTCCCAGAAGGCAGTGCGGAGGAAGGGAGGGAGTAGAAGAGGATTTCCGGACGCTGATGCGGACCTTGTCAGCGCGACGCTCAGAGGTACTCTTAGGTGGCGGGCTTAGTGGAAAGGTGAAAGGGTGGAAGTGACTGGCCAGATGCAAAGCGGGTAATGGTAGAAAGGATCGCTAGCCTTGATTTCTCTCCTTGCAGGGACCATGACGAAGTTAACCCAGTGGCTTTGGGGACTGGCGCTCTTAGGCTCTGCCTGGGCTGCCCTGACCATGGGAGCTCTGGGCCTGGAACTGCCTTTCCCCTGCCAGGAGGTCCTATGGCCTCTGCCTGCCTACCTGCTGGTGTCCGCTGGCTGCTATGCCCTCGGCACTGTGGGCTATCGAGTGGCCACATTTCACGACTGCGAAGACGCCGCCCGAGAGCTGCAGAGCCAGATCCTGGAGGCGCGAGCAGATTTAGCCCGCAGGGGGCTTCGCTTCTGACACCGTCACCCATTCCTGCCCGGACATCCTTCCTCATTCCCTATTAAAGTGAAGTTTATTTTCTAACCTGGTTTAGTTTTGAGTGTGGACGACGGGTATTGGGGGTTCTGTATACCAGAAGTCAAAAAGTGCAAGGCAGGAGAGCCAACTTCCCAGGCTTTGCCTTTGCCTTTTGGTGGCATTCTGTCCCCTTCTCAGATTTTTTTTTAATAGGATCTCATGTATCCCAGACTGGTCTCGAACCCAGACATATGGCCTTGGATGATTTTGATTGTCTGTCTCTCATCTCCTCTAATTACAGGCCAAAACCACCATGACTAGCTTATGTGGTGCTGGGGAATTGATTACCTACTGGGCTTCAAATATGGAAGCCCTCAACTGAGCTACTTCCCCAAATTTGTTTTATTTGTTTCGGTGGTTTTACTAAGTAGTCCAACTTGGCTTACAACTTGCAGTGTTGCCCAGGCTGCCCCCAACCTTGTCCTCCTGCCCCAACCTTTGAGTTTGTTTTGTTCAAGACAGAGTGTCTCTGTGCAACCCTGACTGTCCTGGAACTCCTCTGTAGACCAGGCTAGCCTCAAGTCAGAGATCTGCCTGCCTCTGCCTCCTGAGTGCTGGGATTAAAGGCGTGCGCCATCACCAAGCTCTGCCTCAACCTTTTAAATGCTGGGATTCCAGGCTTCCCACACAGGGCTAGGAAGTATGTATACCTAACTTCCATTTTTTTTTTTTATAACTTTCAAGTTTTTTTTCTTTTTAGAAGGCCTTCTGGGTCTTTGTGCCTTCTAGTTCTTTCAGATACCTTTTCTGAGCCAGTCTTAGGAGCCCAGTCACTAGGCCCACCAGGAAGGTTGAGAATCATGAAGAAAGCACAAACCCTACAGGCAGGGGTGGAGAACACTTTATTTTAAGGCACATTCTAAAGATACCACCTCAGCCTCCAAAATGAGAAAAGATAATCTCTCTTCAAAAATTCGATTTCATCCCATAGGTCCCATCTGATCTACGTAAAAGTCCTTCTTTGATCCCTCTATTTTCAAAATCAGCCTTTTTCTCACAACCTATTGCACCCATGGAAGTGGTCAGGAGGACCAGCAGAAACAGGAGCTCTTTGGTATCATATTGGCCCTAAGGTGGCTGTGGTCAGGTTTGCAGAAGGCGGTATTTTCTGTCATGTTCTGGGGGATACTTGCAGAAAAGCCCAAGTCGGATCAGGCTGGTAATGATCCCTGGAAGGTTGGGCACCTGCAATCAAAAGGCTGCTGTAAGACAGGAACTAGTTTCTGCTTTGTAGACTCCTCTTCCCATCCAGGATCTTACCGTGATATATGGGTCTCTGAGTCGAAACCCGTAGATGGACCAGGAGGTAGAAGAAAGGAAGGTGGCGATGGTGAGTGAGAAGGAGAGACGCTGGGTAGACTTAGTCTGAATGATCTTGGCCTGTGGCAAAAGTACTCCTGGTTCAGGCTTATAGTACCATTCCTGAGCCCTAGCCTAAGAATTTCCTTGTGGAAAAAAAAAAAAAAAAAAAAAAGACCCAAATCCCTCTGATCTTTGACCCAGCTCTCTCCTGCATCTCCCTTACCCACCACTCCTGCCTGGCCTTCTTCCAGGAGCTGGGGTCTTCTTTTCCTCTGGAGTATTAGCCAGTCTCTGGCTAAGGCAGCCTAGCCCTTCTGATCTCCCCTACCTTGTGGCCACCCCCACTCACCAAGTCAGCCAGTGGTGAGAGGTACATGCTGATGGTAAAGACACTGCAGAAGAGGCCTAGCTGCTGAAGCCGGGCCTCAAGGTCTGGCACCAGAAGCCAAAAGTAGCCATAACCCAGGAGAAGGACCCCCAGCAGGGCTGCAGTCTGCAGGAGCACAGCATGCTGCAGGGGAGAAGCGTCTTACTTGCATCTGTACCAGAACACTGATTTCTCTGCTGGGATTGCTTCATCCTGTCTTCGTCCATGCTCTAATGGGGAAATCAACTTTTATCCCAGCCTTCATTCATGTCAGTCTCTATTTCACCAATTACTTGAAGGAAGTCTCATCCACACAACACTGGAGGTCTCCAGGGAAGGGAAAAGTATCTTTTCACATGAGTCTCTCACACTTACAGTAAGAGACTAATGAATGTTTTTTGTGATTGAATGGGAAAGCATAGCTAATGGCCATTCTTAGCCACTGGCCCTGGTCCTAACCCTAAAGGAACTATCAGAGACAGTATAGCTCTTTCTCCCGGGCCTGTTGGAGAGAATAGGTTAGCACTGACACCACTGGGCTAGGTAAGCCACCAGCCCTGTGAGCAAGGGGACAATGGGTGGCTGTGTGTGTGTGTGATTTGTAGGGTTGGCTTCATGGGAAGGAGAACCAGAAGGGCATTCTAGGAAAAGGAAGTACTGACATCCTACTAGTCTTCCAGGAACCAGTGTCTGCTCTGCTAACGTGGCAGGGAGTGCAGCCGAGGTGGGCGCGAGGGAGGGCCTCTACCTTCTGAGGACTGTAGTGCAGATATGCCAGGATATAGAGCGTCTGAAGGACAGCACCCACGATATTGACGATGATGAGGGTCCCATCTCCCTTCAAGACTCCATAACTCAGCCAGCCCAGGTTACTGTGAGGGGAGGGGGGTTATGTGGCAGGGGGTCCCCAGAGACCTCTTGTGCCTCCCTCAGCCTTTCCCGTCACAGTCAACAATACTCTCACTTGACATCCGTGGTGAGAAAAGGCAGGAACTGGATGCTGTCCACGCTCCGTGTCCTCTGCATGTGCCTGAGGTCCGAGCTGGAAGGGGACCCAAAGGGAATTGTTAGGAATGGGTAGCAGATTCCTCGGGGCTTGTCACCCACCCTGAACAACAAGCAGATCTCCCCGCTCAGGCCGAGGGGCCAGCCTTGCTCTAGCACCCCAGATCACCCAACCCTATTCCACTTTCATTCTGGCTAGAAATTGTAGCCACGTCTCTTGACCACTTTGCTTTCCTGATTTCCTGGTCCTATTCCCAGCCCAGTCCATCCGCGCTCTCACAGGCCAGTGGAGAACATGCCCAGGGTGAAGAGCACGCAGGCACCGGAAAGAAAAGAGTCTGCCACGCCGCCCGCCTCCATCCCACCGGAGTCGGTTCCCTCGCCCAGGGCTGTGCTCCGGCTGTTTAGGCCCAGAGCTGGCGCCCGCGAAGCCACGCCCCTCCCCGCGGACCGGCGCCGGAACCCGCCCTCGCCAGAACTGCACCGGAACTGGGGCCTCTGCCACACCAGCGCTGCATGCTGGCTGGGTGGTTTGCTGTTATGTGTTCCTGAGTTTCGCCTTCGGATTGTGCTTTAATGCTTTTAGTAGGGACCATGCATTTGTCCCCAACAGGGTCCCTCCTCACACTCTGCCCACCCTTGGGTCATCTAGGCCATTAGCCTCAACTTCTGTGCTCCTATATGTCCTTGTATGCCAGAAGACATATCAGAACCTTGGGAGGTTTCCCCTGAAGGTTACTGAAATCTTTTTAGCCTGTTCCTTAAATTGCCAGGCGTTGCCATCTTTCTTCAGATGCCCTCCCTTACACAACCTGCCCTCTCCATGGGCAACCCTACCCTGGCCCCCTGTTCCTACATACTTGCTGCTGGGAACTTTCCCTCCCAGCCTCCCACGCAGCTCTGCTGGTGGGGCTGTGCACATGCTTCAGCTGGCATCCAGCTCCCTGACTCACTCAGACAGCATGAGTACCTGTGTGGTATGCCAAAGCCCTGCGCTTGAGGCTGATGAGAGTGGGTTTAGAGTTGGACAGGAAGAACTTAACAGAATGGGGTGCGGAGAGGAATCCAGCAAACTACTATAGGGAATTCTCCTGGAGAACCCCTGGAGGAAATACCCTCCCTCTGACCTGGTAAGAACATGTGTTTTTCAGAAAGAGAAAGAAATTAAGCCAAGTTGTGTCTTATATCTTTTTCCCTTGATCCTAGCCACTTACTTATTTTGTCTTTTATTTATTTACTTATTTATTTTATTATTTGTGAGACAAGGTCTCACTGTAGCACAGGCTGGCACTGAAATGTTGGCAATCTTCTTGCTCAACCTTCTGAGTGCTGGGATTATAGGTATGAGCCTGTGCTTATGCTCTCTGCTGCTGAGAATTTAACCCAGGGTTTACACATAGTAGGTTAGCACTCTACTTTTTTTTTTTTTTCTTTTGTTTTTTCAAGACAGATTTTTCTCCAAGTAGCTTTGGAGCCTGTCCTGGAACTCGATTTGTAGAACAGGCTGGCCTTGAACTCACAGAGATCCTCCTGCCTCTGCCTCCTGAGAACTGGGTTTAAAGGCATAGGCCACCACCACCATCTAGCAAGTAGCTGGGATTATAGGTGTGTACCACCAGCCCCAGTTGCTTCTGGTGTCGAACTGAGCCCAACACACAGAAGGGACTATGTGGTCATAAATCAATACAGAAGGGCAGAAGAACATATCCAAAAAACCAAAAACATTTCTTTATTATGAATCCAAGAACACTGTATAAAAAAACTCCAGTTGTAGAAATGAGCAGACACAGATGTTTATATACAGACACTGTACATGTGGGCCCTGCCCTTTAAGATACATTCTACACAGACTGTACACACGGGCACTGCCCTTACAGCTATACTCTAAAACCAGTATAGTCCTCGTATTGGCACAGCTCCAGGGAATGCTGCCTGAAGGATGGGGAGGATACAGTCAGTGCCTGGCTACAAACCTCTCTGGCAGCTCAGCAGGTGGAAACCTTGCAGAGATGCTGGGTCAGCCCAAGCATGCTGCCTCTCCTGTACCTGGCTCCCACGCAGGAAGCTGTCTCAAGCTTTTCCTTCAGTCAGTTCATCTGGACATCATGGCTTCCTCGGGGAAGGGTGTCTTTAGTGTCCAACTGCATGACCTCAGGCCCTTCCAGCTCATCTCCCACTGGGCCCTTAAAACGGGCCAGGACTGCACAGCTTGTTTCTTTGGCTTAAAGGTAGAAATCGCAGGGAAAGGACTGTCCCCACTTCTTTCTCCATCCCTCTGAAGTGGAGGCAGGAATGGCACAGTCAGGCTGGTTGAACTCCTTTGGGTCGAAACCCTTAATACTGAACCCTCTGAGGCTTCAGGGTGGCAGCTTGTGCATGTAGTGGGAGTGGTTCCCAGGGCTGGAACTTTGGGGTGCTTTTCCCTGCCCTTAGCCCAGTTCCAATCCGTAAGCCAGGTGAAGCATCCGACTTCACTGAGTTTGCAGTAGCAGCAGTGGCAGGAGCAGCACAGCCCAGACCAATGGGAAGAGTCGGGGAGCAGCGCTCTGACCAATGCTGTGCAGAACTTGAACCTCTGGGTCATCTGTGGGGTGAGAAGGTAAAGACCCACAAGGTAAGCAACTCTACTATTCGCACCGGCTTCTAGCCAAACAGGATGTGGCCTGCCCCCTGTGGCAAAGGAGCCACTTCTAGCCCCAGCTTCTTTTAGCAAACCCCTTCCTGTGACCCAGGCCCAACTGGCTCTAGCTCCCTACCTGCTGGAAGTCTCTTCTCCTGAGAATTGGCATGGGCCTGAGGACTATGGGCTGAAAGATAAGAATAACAGTAGATCAGGTATTGCAACAGGAGGCAGAGAAACAACTACCTCCCCATCCCTTCCACTAGACAAGCTCAGCACGGGTGGAAGGAGGCATCTACAGGCTTTGACACTCACTGATTTTGCCATTGACAGTCACCTTCAACTTCAAGCACTGGTTTTCTTGATGGTGGATAGGTTTGGCTGTAAAGTAAGTCAATAGGATGTTAAGGAAAGAACCTTTGCTAGAACCCTCCAAGCCTGGAGGCACACCAATCCTGAGCCAGTGCATACCCCTAGACACTCCCCTTATGCTGCCCTATAAGATCTCTATGCAGACGCTTCGAGCTGTCTTTCTAGCCATCCGACATGGCGGGTGGATGAAAAGACCCGAGCTAACATAGGGTTAGCTCGTTAAACAACTATAATAAAGCCTCATGCAGTTTGCATCAAAAAAAAAAAAAAAAAAAAGAACCTTTGCTAGAAGAAGATGAGCTCAAATTTGACTCTGCTCACTTTAAGTAATTAATTAATTATTTAAGACAAGATTTCACTATGTACCATTGGCTACCCTAGAATTTGTTATGTAGACCAGGCTAGCTTCAAACTCACAAAAATCTACCTGCCTCTGTCTCCTGAGTGCTGCATAAAAGCACTCAATACCATACCCAACCTTTATTATTATTTTAAAGTTTTTTTTTTCTTCCTCTTCAGCGTATGTCACGAAACATGTGTGAAAGACAGACCATAAATAATGGGAGTCAGTTCTTGCCTTCCACCTTGCTTCTACACTGCATACTCAATAAGGCCGATTTTCTTTTCTTTGTTTTTTTTTGGGGGGGGGAGGGGGGATAGGGTCTCTCTACAAAGCCCTTGCAGTCCTAAGATTGACTGACACATGCCTATGCCTCCCAAGTGTTGGAATTAAAGGTTAGGACCACCATGCCCACCAAGGCTAATTTTCTTGTCCCTGCCTTCTATCACCCTATAGGAATGCTGGGATTACCAATGTACACCACTGCATCTGAACTTTTATGTGGGATCTGGGCCACCACAGCTGACTTGTGTGGGTTCTGGGCAGAATTTAGATTGCTGGGCTTATGCAGAAGTTTGTAGTTGGTTGTTTTTGCTCTTTTGCTCTTAGGCTCTTTGGACTCTTTGGGGGGCCCACCACCTTGCTCCCAAATAAATCACACACAGAGGCTTATTCTTAGTTATAAATGCCTAGCCTTAGCTTGGCTTGTTTCTTGCCAGCTTTTCTGAAATTATCCCATCTATCTTTGGGATATCTTGAGGCTTTTATTTTTCTTTATTCCTGTGTACCTTTCTCTCCTTCTTACTCCGTGTCTGGCTGTATACCTCTGTAGCTGGGTGGCTGGCCCCTGAAGTTCTCCTCCTAACTCTCTCGTTCCCTGATCCTTTTTTTCTCCCAGATTTCTCCTCATATTTACCTCTCTGCCTGCCAGCCCCACCTATCCTCTCTATTGTCTCTCTCCTCCCTCTCTATTGTCCATTTAGCTCTTTATTAGACCATCAAGCATTTTAGACAGGCAAAGTACCATAGCTTCAGAGTTAAACAAATGCAACATAAACAAAAGTAACACACCTTAAAATAATATTCTCCAATGTTAGCTGATTTTTATTTTTTATTATTTATTAATTATGGTTTTTCAATACAGAGTTTCACTGTATAGCCCTGGCTGTCCTGCAACTCACTCTGTAGACCAGGCTGGCCTTGAACTCAGAGATCCATCTGCCTCTGCCTCCTGAGTGATGGAATTAAAGGCATGTGTCACCACTGTCCAGCCTCTGTTCTTTTTTTTTTTTTTTAGGGACAGTCTCACTCTAGCCCACAATGACCTGAAACCTTGACTGTAGCCTAGGCTGCCCTTGAATTCACTCATTCTCCGGAGTGCCTAGATTACTGGTGTGAGCCACCACGCTTCGCCTAACCTTGATATTTATTTTCAGGTTTTTTGCCTACTTTCTGATCAGTGTTCAGTTCCATCTCTCATTCTCTGTAATAACACTCAACTTTAGCAGTCGAGTGACAGGAACGTGGACAATGTCTCTTCCATATACACATTCCATCTTTCATGACTCCCAGCCTGAAATTGGGTGAAGTGTTCAGAAATGTGTAACTTCCCTTTCCTTGGACCAATATTTTCCATGCTGGCCTAGACTCAGCCAGAGAATAAGCCCCGGATCTAGCCTTCTCAAAGCCTGGACCTTGTAACTCTCAGGATTCATCAGTGGGGTTCTGCCACCCTCAGGAGGAAGTTTAGTCTCTTACTAGTATTCTGTCCTACCCACTTTCCAAGCCCATCGCTACTTCTTGTATGCCTGTCATTCCAGGAGCTCCAGAAGCGTCACCCTCTCTTTGTGCCTCTTGTCCTTGTCATACTCAGTCATTTCTGTCTTTGACCTTGGCAGGTACACAGGTCATTTTCCCAAGTGCCTTGTGTTCATGTCTATCACATCACACTCTTCTACTGGCCTGATGCTTTATATGGGTTCCTTCCCAGCTTCCTTGAAGACAGGGCCTAGGAGTGTTTTAGTAACTTTCTGCCCATGTGTCAGACAGAGTGCCTAGGACACACCTGAAGCTTGTTCCACATCTGCGATATTGTTAAGGGGTGGGCTCTATGCTACTTGACTCCCCACGAAGCAAGCACCCAGGCCCATGCTGCGGCCACCAGTGACCTTATGTACTCACAGATGTAGTAGTAGCTGTGTCCTTCCTTGAACTCCTTGCCCAAGGTGAAAGGTGTGAAGCGCTGGAATTTCTCAGACAGCTTCTCTGGGCCGTGCTTGGCACCAGGCTGGTTGCACTTCCAGCGGACCTGGTCCTTTGACTGGGGCTGGCATGCCACATACTCCTGGTGCTCCACCATGTACAGTGTATACCGCTCCATGGCAGCATCTGCCACAGAGTCATCCTCGTAATGTGGGCAGATGATGTCTAGGTAATCATTCAGCCTCACGTGTACAGTGTAGTCCTCCTCCCGGAACCTGGGCCCATGTAAAGCAGGAGGAAGCAGATTACTCAGAAATCAGGCCAGAGCCTGGAGCTTCCCACTGGTCTCAGCATCCCTCACATCTCACCTGCATACCCAAAGATTTTTTCCAAAATCTTTTTTAATTTTTTTTTTTTTTTTTTTTTTTGAGACAGGGTTTCTCTGTGTAGCTTTGGAGCCTATCCTGGCACTCGCTTTGGAGACCAGGCTGGCCTCGAACTCACAGAGATCCACCTGCCTCTGCCTCTGCCTCCCGAGTGCGTGCGCCACCAACGCGCGGCGTTTTCCAAAATCTTAACTAGTGTATTTACTGATCTTGATTTCTTTCATCTTCCTCCTGCATCTTCAACCATTCTTTCACCACCATCACCTCCTACTCATTCTCCAAATAACATCCACTAAGTATCATTCAGGTACCAAAGTGCCTTCTAGAATACCCAGTATTTGCCCAAGGATCGGCAGTTCTAAGTATTTCTGCATCTCACCCCCTGCTGTGTTTCCCCAGGTGCTTTTTTTAAATGCCAGTAGACTTCAATCTGGGCCATTCTGGATTCTGGAGCCAAGGTCTCTCTCTCTCTACCTCGGAGTGGCGCCCTCATCACACACACCCTTTGCTTTGCTTATCTCATCTTGTCCTGCCCCTCAAAGAGTCTCTCTCAGATTTCCATTACCCTTCAGCACCCAATCCCTGGTCCAAACCCAGACTCACAGATAGTAAAACCATTCTTATCAGTTTACTCAACTCTCCCTTTCTTGTTACTCAAACTTATGTCCTGATCTCCTTGTCCCATTTCCTCAGAGCACCTCCAAACATCCCTGTCTTTTTTTTTTTTTTATCTCCAAGAGTCATAATTCCACCTTCCCCGATGAAATGCTACAATTCTTAGACTCAAGCCTGCTTCTGCCTTTCCCTTCTCCCCAGGTGGAGCCAGCTCCCCTCCCCCAGGCGGTTCCCCCTCAAGCCGTGCAGGCTCCAGCCTGACTGCCCACCAGCCCCTCCCCCTTAGCTCCAGACACCTGGCTCCAGCCTGGGTAGGGTCTTAGCAGTGGGGAAGTGCTTCCCCCACCCGCTGAAAGCCAGTCAGCCTCTCGGAAATCTCCCAAGCACTGCCAGTGAGAGGCTCAGCAGAGCTGGCTGCCAATTTGCCTTAAATCCAAGTCCTTGGCATGGGTGGTGCCCATGGTGATGGTGGGGTTCCATGGTGGCCACCCACCACCCAGTCATCGTGACCCTTTAGAGGCCTGGCCTTGCAACAGCTTGCAGCCTCTAGAACCAGGCTTAGCAGGCCCCTCCCCCACCCTGGGGAAAAGAGAGAGAAGCAGAGGGAGGCTTTTAAAATTCCTCTCCAGAGAGATAAACATAGGAGCCATTTCAGAACAGGTATTTCAGCTCTGGGCCTGGCGTCTTTCCCCCATTCCCGTGATGGGCACTGACTCATGCCTCATCTACCTCTGCTACCCGCCCAGACACAATCTTGAGAGCCTGGGAACATTCGACTTGTCAACTGTAAGCAGCCCCCAAGACCCCGGGACAGCCCAGTACTGGTTTTGCCCCAGCGCTGGCCTCTAGGTGCTGAGAAGTCTGAATAGCCAGGGTGCCTGTCTCTCCAGGACCATGGGAGCCCAGGGCCCAGCTCACAGTGGCACCCTTCTCTGACACTGCCTCTGCCTGGAGATCCCAGGGCTAATGCCCACTACCCTGAGTCACCTATGCCAACCCAACACCCGCCCTGCTCATTGCCAACTCATCTCTTCCCCCAAGCTGGGCCTGGCTAGACTGCCCATGACCTCCACTCTAGACCGGCTTTCCTGTAGCTGTAAATAAGACAGGGCTTGTGTTCGTCCAGAGAGACAGGGCTGAAGCCATACTTAGTGGGGTATACTTCTAAGGGTACTATCTCCTCCACTTAGCTTGCTTGTGACACTTAGTCTTCATCTGGAAAGGGGGGCTACATTAGTGGTGGAGAAGACAGGGAGGGGGCAAGGAAGAGGCTCCTTCCTGAAAGAGAGGAAACCTGGGAGCTTGGGAACGGAAAAGGCCAGAGTTCCCCCCTCCCTACTCATGGCTTCCTGTCCCCTCCTCCTCCTTCAGCCAACACCTGGCATGGACATAAACAGGGACTTTGCTCTTTTCCACAGGACTGGGTCAGGGTGGCAAGGGGTAGGCTCAAGGGCTGGCTGGGCTGCCGTGGTACCTCAGGGCCAGGAAGACATTGCCCTTAGGGTTGGCAGCTGGCTCTGTGCTGCCTCCAACATGCTCTAGACAACAGACCCTCAAGAGGCAGTGCCACAATGCCAGAGGAAACTGGCATTGCATCTGTCTCGGGAAGGGGGAGGTGGGCACACTGGATCTGGGAGTGGTTTAGTGATGTTTTGCCCCCCCTTAGGGACCAGGCTCTTTTCTCCTTGTCCCACCATACCCCCCCTTAGGTTTTGCCCAAATACTGTTCTCACAACTTGAGAAAACTCAAGGGCAAGAACAAAGGGTCTGACAGTGTCTTCCTTCCAATACCATTTGCTTCATAGCCCTAAAACCTGCCCTGGAGAAATTACCTCCTTCCTGTTAGCCCTTTGTAGCCCTGTGAACCCCCCTCTGCTCCTCCCCTAGCTTCCCAGTGACACTCCTCACCAGTTCTTTAGTGTGACCACCTTGGCCACGCCCTCGGTCTATCCATGCACAGCGTGTACCTAATTTATGCCACCCCCCAAAAAGTCTTTGGGGGCACTCTCCAGAGTCATCGTAAATACAGAATAAATACCTAATACCCGAAATCTAGACCCTTACTAAGGGTCTTCCCAGGGCGAGTCTGAGCACTGTGTTTACTCTTGATGTCAATAGGTGCCTGTTAGGGCACAAATGCTCAAGGGGCACACCACAAGAGGACACAGAAGTTTCGTGAGGGGTCTTAAACAGCCCTGGAGGACAGGGCCAATGTTAAGTCTCAAGGCAAGAACACTCGGCATGAGATCCTTACTTTAGAGTGATGGGATGCCAGAGGGCAGGAAGAGAAGGGCTGAAATAGCGCCTGTGCAAGCAGGCATGAGCAGGTTTCTGCCAGAGTCGGGTGTTGCCAGTTACCAAGGGAGGTAAAGACGGAGGTGGGGCGCTACAGAATCCTTCCCACCCCTGGCCACCTCTCCCAGGCTCAGGCCAGGGGGTGGCCGGGACAGTTACCCAGAGGAAAGGCATTGCCAACCAGGCGCCCAGGCTGCCAGAGGGAGTCTTGGGGCTTACTTGGGATTTGAACTGTTCCAGAAGACGATGTGACGGTCAGCAGCGGCCAGACTGCAGCACAGACCCAAGAGAGGGGCCCAAAGAAACTCCATAGCTTTGGGCCGGGCCGGGCCGGGCCGGGACGAGAGCTCTGCAGTGTAGGGTTCCCACTGGCTTC